CTAGCTCAAGCCAAAGCTCTGGCTCTTCATCTTCTACAGCAGCAAAAGAAGCTTCAGCAGGTGAAGCATGTCATCTTTGTACTCCTCTAATATTTTGTTTGCTTTAGGGCTTTTAGAGCCGATATCTTTCACTGCACCATTGGTAAGCTCCTGATAATGACATTTAGCTAATTTAAAAGGTCTTTCCCTAAATATTCTTTTGGACAGCCACTTTATTATAAGCTATTCCATATTTATAACAAATGTTTGTAATGTTTGTCATGGCACACATTACTGACTGGTTAAATTTTGAGAGGGAGGGAATGAGCAAGTGAGTGTGAGGCATGTGGCGTGGGTTTGATTGTAATCTAGGAAAAATGCACTGTCCATATGTTAACAAAAACATTATTATACTATGTAATTAAAAAACAATTGAATTGTTACAGTCAGGGAAGATGTGGTAACTTAAGTTAAATTATTAGTCTGAGGAGAAGAGCATGTTGGCTCGACACAGGAGCTTCTCAGTGTGTGGCCTTTGTTTGCTTTTCTTTACCTATTTGTGTTTTTGGATCCAGCACCCACTGAGGGATGTGCATGTCTTTTTTGATTTTTCAACTTTTATTAACTTGCCATTTCTGTATCATTTTACGTAGGTTTGGGATACCAAAATTGTCCTTTGCCTTGAGGCAAGTGCTTGAAAACGTTAAAGTCCCTCTCTGAAAAGTCATAGAAATTATATGAAATTATAATAAGCATCATTTGGCCAATGCCATGGCAGACCCTGTCATTAATCTGTGCAAATATGAAGTCAGCAAACACAATGTTCAATATTCTATTTCATTACCAGTATCATTCAACATTATGGTGCTGTGCTTAACTGTGTCACAACTATATATATTTCTATTATTTTTATATATCCTGTATCTAAAATCCATCCAAGTGCAATATTGTTTTTGATTTGGCAGGTTGCCTTTGCTGCCTAAACATGATATTTATCATGCACCTCAGTCCACTTCAATGCATGTGCAATCTTGATTTTGTTTAAATTAATCTTTTTACCATCTATAGAGAAAATAGAGCTTTACCCCACATGCATCTTTTTGTAGAAGTGTGCATATGGTAATTGTCTGACGTATGCTTTTTCATTTTTTTTATTCTGTACATTACTGCAACTGTAACCCCCCCCCCTTTACATGCAGACATATCAGACATATCTATCTATATGCGTACTGAGTTCCAGATCACATAAGGGAAAGATTTCCAGCACAATGTCTTTTGTAAAATATTCAGACAAAGTACAGGATGTGTTTCTTGTGCTCCCATTACACGCCTGTGTTATGAAAACCGTCTTATAACATTCTAGGTAAGGTTACTGATATTGAGGTTACAAAAGAGGCTAATTAGATTACAGCAGGGTTTTTTTTTTGCATTGTAACTTCTTACATCCTTTTTGCAGTGCAGGATGTGCAGGCTAGCTCACCACAATGACTGGCTTAACACAGACTTTAACTTCAGTGTTTACCTTGATAATGCTGCTCCTGCGTGGAATTTCCGATTTGCCATCCAATCCCACAGAGGTGTTGGCGGTTTCCACCCCGGCTTGGATGCCAGGTGCGACATGGGATCCTGAGCCGACCATATTATCTGATATCCCACAGTCTCCATTCAGCACCGACACTTCGCAATGCGTCTTCCCAGCTGCTTCGTCGCTGGGCACGGCCGTATCCCCAAGATTCAATGGAGGCAGGCTGCCGTTCTCCCCAAACTCCGCCATAGGCTCTCTCTCTCTCTCTCTCACACACACACACACACACACACTCTCTCACGCGCACACACACACAAGCTGGCAAGCTACTGGGTAGCAAAGCCTTATGTTTCAGCTTTACTCCAATTTCCTCCCTGTCCTATTGCCTCGTTGTAACACGCAATTCTGCCATATCATCTCTCGGTGCACATATCTGTCAGGTTCCTACAGACAGACGGGCTTGCTCCGTGCATTGTGCTCTGTGAAGAGAAACAACAGCGATTAGCATAATTAGGTATTGTGACATTAGTAACATCTGTTACGTTAATAGTAGCATGCATTAAGCCGTGCACAGAGCACAGCCATACATACATACATACAAAAAGGCATGAATCAGAAGCGTTGAGCACTCACGCTTCGTTTAAACAGAGAGCGGATGTTAACTTACAACCAGTGAGGACTATCACCGTGAATGCAGCGTGATAAACGCATACAAATGACTTACTTCCCTGTCCCTGTATGTGAGGGCTTCGTTGCATTTTCAGTAAGTTTTAAGTGCATTTGAAACGTTTTCATCTCAGAGCACCCCCCCCCCCCTTTATGTTGCATTTTTTTCTGTAGTAAAACCCTCTCCAGCTTTGCATTAGTCGGAAATGTTACGTTAAATAACACACAAAAAGGCATGTTAAGTTATCCGTTGAAATCTACTCGTTCAGAAAAGCCTTAAAGCGAACTGTGTCTTTGTGTACTTGCCTTTAGCGCTGCTGCCTTGTCTCTCCATGAGACGGACGAGCTTCCTTTATAAGTTGTGGCTGCAACTGAGCAGTCAGACTGCCGCTTGGTGCCGCTGAGCAGAGCTAGGCGGCTAGCTAACGTTAGCGCCTCCTCGTCCGCAAGCTAGCTGGATGAAGTTAGTTTTCACAGTCACAGCCGCTCTGAAGTCCATTCAGTTCAACCCCCTGGTTTGTAAACAAAACGCAGACAGCCCCTCCACTTTCAGTCAACGTCGACAAGTCCGTGTTTCTTCCGTTTAAGTTTTAAAAAATACACTTTAAACTGAGATGTGTCGTTACGTGCCCTGTGATTAACCGTCCCTCACAGAGGAGTGGTTGCTAAGGAACGAACTGGTCTGTGTCTCGCGCATCTGGCAGCACAGACCGTGATGTCAATCAAATCTAATTATTTTGAAACCCAAAGACAAAAAGCTCCCTTTATTACTTACTTTTTTTGTAATAAAGAAAAATGTGACATCGCCTGCTTATCCACACATGTTAATCAGAGTTATCTTTCAAATTACTTAACTGTAGTGGTTCCAAAAGTGTGTGTGTGTGTGTGTGTGTGTGTGTGTGTGTGTGTGTGTGTGTGTGTGTGTGTGTGTGTGTGTGTGTGTGGTGGGGGGGGGTGAAGGTGTAAAAATGCTACAAATGTAAGTTTGGACATGACCGCAACAAACATGTCTTCTTACTCTTTACACACACAGATGCACACATCTGTGTGTCTATTTATTGAGTTTAGTATGTCCACTCAGTGCTAAAGTCTATACATGGTAATTACATGTAGTGTGCCTCTTGCCTTTCTTTTTGTGCATATCGCTATATAAAATAGTTTTAGGGTTAGGCTGTTGTATTTGCTGTGTTGTTCTTTTGTGTTGCCAGTGTTGAGATAGGCCTATTAGTGTGTGCCGCTGTGCGCTACAGTACAGTTTATGCTTTAATCACCTCCAGGGACAGTGGGGGTCCCCAGTCTCATGGAGTTCGTGAGCTGAAAAGTTTGGGAGCCCCTGGCTTAATGTAGGCTAAACAAATGGATTTAAATTGCAAGTCACAAATGTGTGTTTTGTACTTCATTTCATCTGCAATTTTCCTGCTGAATTTGGTTTTTCAGTGAGTGTGTTGTTAGTTTAGGTGCAAGCACATAGTTAAATATACAGCACATGGAGCATCCACTCTGCCCTATAAGTCAGTAAGTAAAAACATAGAGCACAAAATGCAAAAGGAATGAGATAAACATAATTTAGCAAGAAGACTATAAAACTTACATAATTAAGTATACATTTAATGTGCTTATCATACTTTTAAACTAACAAACCTGGTGAAAATAATGAGTTTTAGTAATACAATATTTCTCCTTGTTCTGTCCTATATCATTCCTAACATCTTCTTTGGTGTTTAGTCAATATGCTTGCTGCTGCAGTCAGCTATAATCTCTCTGAAGGGCTCACATGACTTTTTTGTTTTTATCAGTTTGGAGTCACATTGTGTGTCCGCTCTTCCTCTTTATGAGGACAGCACACAGTGACAATGAACTGATCCTCATGGTGAAGTAATAACATTCACAAAACAACTGCCTCTTGTGATGCTGAAAGAGGTTTCTTCTGGAAATAGATCTGCATAGTCACATATGAGATCAGATGAACAGATTCACCACAAATTCATGGAGGGTGAGAAGATCCCTGAAACAGGAGTCCCACATTGTAGAGTGTGCATGTAACATGTAGTTCATACAGATTTATATTCGAGCATTCTCCTTCAGAGCGAGAGAGAGAGAGTAGAGGTTTGACACTGTTCTACATGATTAAATGCAGTTTATTCACAGGCCACTGGATCAGATCAAGGCAGATAAGCACATTGTGAGATACCAGAGAAGAAAGTCCGCTGACTTGTACAACAGTGCCATCTGCTGGTCTGCAGAGGTTAATGAGCTTTTGGTTATTGTGCTGCATATTTTCTTTGTGGATTCCCTTCGACAGCTCACTGATTCATACTTATTTTCAAACCAACATTTTAATATCTGGGGCAATTGTTTCCAATCTTTTTGGTCTGTGATTCCTTAAAACAGGTTTCCCTATCAGGGGAAGATCTCAGGAGGGCGCGAGGCTCTGCCTGCCTGCTGAAATTTATACAAAGGTCTTTTGGTAAGGACAAGTGTGTAGACATATTCTGATATGGGTTTTATACATTTTTTGTACAAAATTATCAAAAGATTTTCATGGGTCCTGTGGGTGGGGGGGATGGGGGGCTCAGCTTTTCTGAAATACAAGTTGGTGAGGCTCCAGACGCTTACTTACTTACTTACTCAATATAATAAAATATGTATATTATCAGCCATAAAAAAACAAAAAAAACATGCACATTTTACTTTCTGATGATTCTTTATTGTATGATAATGTCAAGGATGAACATTCTTGATGGCATTATATTGCACAATGTCTTCATTGTGCTTTCATAACTCTACAATTCCTGACGCTGAGATGGAGATGTGTCCCTAAATACATCCCTCAAGTGAACCTCTGACAGAAGGCAAGCAAAAGGGACACCTATTTGTCTTATAGGTACATGTTCATTTGCTTGCGTCAAAGGCATCTGAAGGGCTTACTTTTAATATTTGGGAATGATTTTGTTGGGGCATTTGCATGAAGCAGGACAATCTTCACTCAGCTGTTGTTCACATACAGTCACTTCTGTCGGGGATGGACAGTCCCTGTACTTGTTGGTGTAAGGACAAGGGTTGGCTGAAACGAAACAGAAATTAAAAAAATTAGGGGTATAGTACATGTGCATTTTTTTTTTTGCCAGACAAGGAAACCACAATGTGTGTCTTAAGGCGTTTTCACATTAGACACGATTGCTCCCCCCTCTCCTCTCCCCGGTTGGTCTGCGTTCAAATTTCTAACATCGTTCTCTGCCCGAGTACACTTGGTATGTACTGTATATAGTCTGAAACAGCAGCTGGCAGTATGCACATAGTTGATTTGCAAATCTGCCAAGAAGCAGAAAGAAGAAGAAGCAACCATGGCCACCATTGCAGGCTGAGTAAATACTGTTATCTGTGGATGTTTCTGTTCTTTCAGAGACGCCACCCTCAACCCTGCTCCTAACAAAATGCTTTCGTGCAGCTCAGAGGATGAATTGGGCTCATGCTGCGCGGTTACGACGGTGTCATATAGCGGTCCACTTCCTTGTTTGAGCACCGATGCGTTCACATCTCCCACTAGTTGTCCTTGAGAACACATGAATCATACCTGAGACCCCCCTCTTCGAGTGGAATCGGGCACAGTACACGAGTCGAGTTCATACTGTTCAAATGAACCGGTCTTTCAGGTCAAGCGTACTCGTATGAAGGCCCGGTTCCCTATTGTGAAACCACTCTTAAAATCTGTGACTTACTGCAGAGGTTCTCCACACAGTCCTTAGGACAGGAGGCACACGGGGTTCCAAACTTATAAGGCTCACTGTTCATGAAGTTTCCTCTGTGAAACAAATCAAAAAGTTTAATTTTTTCGACCTACTTCACATGACAAACCACTGATACATTACTGAAACTTTCTAAACCAGCGTCAAACTCCTCAGGACAAAAACATGGTCATGTGTTGTTTCATGGGTGTCACATACGCTCGGTAATACTGGCAGGCATACAGGTAGACGTCATTGCAGAGTGCAACTCCACAGCCAACTTTGTAGGAACTGAACCACACCACCTGATGACACACACAAAACAAACGGTCAGCATTTCATTGTGACTTTATTTAAAGAATTACTCATGCATGATGTTTGCTCAAACACATTCATGTTTTGTCTTAAGATCATTATTTAATCTCACTCCTGACGTGCATTAGGAAGAACGTGCAGCAAAAATCTGAAACGATACAGTAGTAATTGAAAAGCAAATGAAAAAATCTGAAACAAATGTAAGGGCTGAAACGCGCTGCAAAAACAAGTCCATTAATATCAAAAGTACTGCAAATACATGAATGATGCAGCTGCAAATCCAGTCTTTAATGGAAGCGCTCCGGACATGTGGGCGCTCAGTGGAACAGTTTATTATTGACCAGTGGGAGTAAGGGAGACGAGTGAACGTGAACGTTTTGTTTAGATCGGAAAGAAGCATAGTTTGACAACAGAGAGTAACGTTGATCGTGTTTTTACAAACATCTTCATACACTCGGTAATGGAGATACATGCCTCTTATCACATGGGCCCAAAATACACGCATGCACAAACACGACTATGGACATGCATTAATGGAAAGATGTCGAGTGGTGCTGCTACACCAGAGCGCACAGGGGGTTAATGCCTTGCTCAAGGGCACCTTGGCAGTACTCGGGAAGTGACCTGGCACCTCATCAGCCACCAGACCAACTTCCTGACCAACTTCAATACTTTGGTACGCACCGGGACTTGGACTGATGACTCTCTGGTTTCCAACCCAAGTCCCTACAGACTGAGCTATTGCAGCTTAATGCAGCTAGGATATTTAAAGCGATTCCTGCCTGGACTTGCACACCAGGGATGAGACAGCTGAGCAAGTGTTCCCTCCGGGCAGAGCCCAAGCACTAGCAGTGCTACCTCAGCCACGTTACACCCCCCTTTACGGGACACAGGTCATTTGGGCTTTGCCCCGTTGGGAGGCTGGCGTTATAAGGAATGCAGGAGGGAGACCGTTACCCCTGAGTCCAAATAAATCCAGTTTGACTTTAGAGAAGAGGGTAGCGCTGGGTTTTTGCCAGGTTTGCCTCGAGGCATCCAGGCTGCTCTCACAGACCTCTAAGGTCTTCCATGTCTTCTAGAGGAAGGGTTTATTACCAGACCACATAGCAATAAACAACACTGTAGCAGAGTGTCTCTGGGGACCATGTATACTGTGCAAAAACACAACTTAATAATATGTGAAAAAGCCACCCACATAGCTTTGAGAGATGCTTTCTGATGGACCAACAGCTCTGCTAAATTAGCTGCATCGCTAACAGTACTGTCAGCTCTAATCCCTTATGTCAGGAGTTTTTAATTTCTGGGCCAAATTTGGGGAGTCATGGCCCGCAGCCCCCACATCACTGGGATTAAACCCCAAAAATAAACCAAAACAATTAGCCCAAACGCTCTGTTTGACGGAAGGGAACTGCAAAGTGAGCTACTCATTATGTCATAATCACCACCTGTAACCCTCTTCTATAACAGCACTTTTTGGTTGTTTTCAGATATTGATTATAGCTGCTTTATTATTTTTAAGCAAGAAGGTATTGAGACAGATAAATAAATGTGTAACTGGTTAAAGATTCTCCCACAAAAAAAAGCAACTGTGCTTCTCTTGAAGAAAATACAACTGTTTCTACCAACACGTTAATGTTACCAAGGCAACAGCTAAGGTTTACCTGCGTGTAGTGACCAGTAAGGTTGGTGGCGCCTTCAGGATACTGGTAGAGTTGCACCTCAGCGTGCCAGGCATTGATGACTTCCGTCCATGAGTACGGCACGGCTGAGTAGAACATATTCTCGCCACATTCATATCCTACTCAATGAAGAAAAACATGTGAAGTTCTATACAGTATTTATGTCCCACTTGATTAAGCTATTTAGATAAAGCAGGGTTCATTAAAAAACCCTCATGATGATTAGCTACAGACGATAACTTATCTTACTCAGTGTAATTTGTTATTAAAAGAATATATAACGACTGCAGATGAGATAAGGCTCACTGTGATTGGTCACAAGGTCAGTCAGTTCACAGTGAACCCTAACTCTGACATTATCTCTGAGGGATTAGTTAAATTAATGGCATTTGAAAAGTAAAAGACTAATGAATAAAATAGTAAGAGCGGGGATAAACAATGTGTAAAGTACCATCCAGCAGGCGGTGCTGGGTTTGCCATGAGCCAGAATACATTGGTCAACCCAGGCCTGAGAGTTGACTCTCAGATCCTCACTGTGGATCTGGAAGACGAAACAAAATCCAAAGAAATCAGGAGTTTCATTTCCAACGCAGAGGAAAAACATCCGTTTGTTTACAAGATAGTGGTTTTGATAACCCGATCATTGTTTTAATCGGTAAGAATCCCTGATAGAATCTTTCATAATATACGTTCCACTCCAGCCCTTGAAATATGCCGAGGTTGTGATTGAAGTGGCCTTCCCCTGTGAGGCCAAATACCTAAATCAAATTCCAGTACAAACAGAGAGAATTTAACTTTTTGCTTTTGAGCAGAAACCTTACGCCCCCAGCTTTCTAATAATGTGGGAAAGGAAATAAATCATCTTTATTCTCTGTGGACTAACAGACTTTTTGACTGCATACTATGTAGTTGTAAAGTTGCTGACATTGAATTAGAGGATGTGATTTCAGTGAAAGAAAATGCAAACGTTTTAAGCACAAGAATTCATTGTATAACCAGGATTATATTCATTTTTGACAAATTTTTATTTATTTTTTTGGCACTCATTCATCATTTCTAACATGCCAGATTATGGTTTTGGACTACAGTTGAAGTTCTCTTCCTTATAGGTTGACTCAGCTCACTCATCAAACTACACAAAAAGCTGTTTGTGCTTTTTATGATTTCTGTAAGCATTGTGCACAAGAGCTCATCAACCTTATTGGTTTTCCTTCAGAGGAAACAACATTTGCTTGGGATTAAGACAAATATTTTCTGATTCATCTTTATTGAGCTGTAGGAAGCAGGACTTACCATCATCAGCATGTTTGAGGCAGTCGGCTGGACGGCTCTCCTGAAGGCATTATGCAGGTCAACGATCTCGTTCTGTACTGCTTTGTATTCTGTGCAAATGTCTACACACACAAATACAGACACACATACACAGCAATGCACACACACACACTTAAAACCAGTAAGTCAGCACCAGATTAAGGACATAATAAAGAGTGATATTTACTCTGGAGGCTTAATTTCATCGAGTATATGACTCACAAACACATCCTGGTTTAATTACTCTCCAAATGGCTCGACATAACAAAACACAAAAGGATTGAGCCAAATCCCATAATGTTATTGAGAGACTTATTGGGTGGTCTTAAAACTGATGCTTGAAGATATACTACCTCTGTTAAGATAAACAAGACTGTTGTACTAAATTTAGCTCTTACTTTGCTGTGGACACACGGTGGACGCAGACCGCAGAGGAGTGCATTTGAAAAGAGAAGAATTTTTCATCAGTAAAGCAGAAGTTTAACTGTGAATATAACAACAAATACAAAATTAAACATAAACAAGTTTCAATATGTACAATCAGGAGAATAAAGGCAAGGGGACAGCCAAATACAAAACCACAGTAGACAAGTTAACTAATCAATTAAACATTTAAAGGTAAAGAAAGAGTGTAAAATGAGTGCTTCATCAAAACCTAAAGTGACCTAAATGGAAGTAAGGAAACTTGTCTGGAAAAGGGACACCAAAGCCGTTTTCACATATGCAGTCTGTATAAAATCTAGATAATAACGGGAGGACTGCTCCGGAGATTCTCCCGACCTGGCTGTTCACATATGTTCCTCACAGAGGGAGATTATCCCTGACAGACGGGAGGGGGGCAGGGTGTCTCCTGAGGTGAGACGTGATGTAAAAAAACAACGCTGAAGTAGCAGACAAAGGTCCAGGAAATATTCTGACTTTTTCAGGCGATTTCTGCAAATGTGAAAACTGTACAAGTGTTAATCTCTAAGTCAGAACCTGAAAGGAGCTTGGCAAGTGTCTGGTGACGATTCCATCCATGGGTCTTGGTCTGGCTCAGACTGAAAAAATTACATGGCGCCCCCAGCCTTTTAGCCACCAACTGAAAGGATAGGCAAAGAGGTTGGGTGCTATGTGAGCCGAGCAGGCAAACATGGGGACCTAGGTATGCAGACCCCTGGAAGCGAAGACTTGTAGGTGGAATAACACCTCTTTGGAAGGAATAGGAGTTGATGTGGTAGTTGTAACGTTACCAGCTAGATATAGTTGGGCTAATGTCCACACAAGTGCAAGTGGTTGGGATGAGGATCTGCACCTCCCAGTCTGAGGTCATGGTTTCCTGCTGGAAAATGGTGAATTGCTCCCTCCGGTAGGTAAGAGGAGCGAGTCTTTGACCCAAGTGAAAGAAATTAAGTATTTCAAGGACTTGTTCACAACAGCAAAATGTATTGTGGGATTGATTGGTGGATTGGTGCAGCATCAGGATGGACCAGTTTTAAGTGGAATAAATTGCAGGGATGGAAGGATGGATGGATGGATGGATAGATGTATGGACAGATGATTGGATGGACAGATGGATGGACAGATGGATGGACAGATGGATGGACAGATGGATGCATGGAAAAACAGACGGATGGACGGACGGACGGGTGGATGGATGGAAAAACGGACGGATGGACAGACGGACGGACAGACGGATGCATGGAAAAACAGACGGATGGATGGACGGACGGATGGATTGATGGAAATTCTGATGTTGTCTAAATTAACACTACAATAGTTAGTTGCCCAAAATGTGATGAATATCGAATTCAACTTCTTTGCTCCGTAATTCAGTGTGATTAAATCAGTGTTAAATATTTTAGCTGTCATTTTCAAACTTTGAAAAGCTAACATACAAGCATTTAAACTGTATTTATTACATTGCAAATGTCCCAACTCCAGATTAGTGTCTATAAAGTTTTACTTGCTCATCACAGATTTTACATGCAAAACTTTGAAATCTATTACATACAAAAATCTTACAAAGACAAAATGTCAAAACAAATACAGAATGTTTTGTTTTTTGTAGCTTACTCCAGTCAAGACATAACACATCTATAATATAAATTACTGTATTTCCTGAAACATACTTTTTTACTTTTACTTTTTTTTACTTTTTAAAAATCTATAATGTAGAGTTTCCTATTTAAACATCCTATAATAGTCAAAATGATTCAACTCTCACTCACCAAAACACAGTCGGAGTGCACTTGACGCAGTGTCAAGATGCAAATCAAAAGAGCAAACATTTTTCTGGTGTTGAAAAAGATTCCTGTGTACACAAGGGATTTGAACAAAGAAATATCACTGATAAGAATCACTTCAACAAATGCACAAAACCTTGACAGATCTTGTTAAAGTATTTATGTTTGATTTAAATTAAATGTTCATCAAATAGACGAATCATGGGGAAAGCATGCATGTAAACAAAGCAGATGCACAGCAAAGTAATAAAAATACCAAGGAGAGTCATTTAATAAACCTCTGAACTGGGCGACTTACCTGCGTCTTCGGCTGGGTGAGGTGAGTTGGCACTATTTCCTCTCTCTCTTTTTATAGACACAGCTCAGGTACTCACCACAGTCGTTGACATAACACATTCCCCTTCAGTCGCTAATGATGCGGCAAAAAAAGCATAACGCAGTACTACTCAGGGTTGGGCACAATGGACACTGGACAAAAACAAGTCTATCAAACGACACTGACAAGGCTTTTTTTTTCTTCAAAATGGGGTAACTGAACGAGTAAACATGAATTGTTCGGCCCTTGGGTGTAGTGACTACCTGATGTATTGGCTTAAGTTTACACAGTTTAGAATGGAAAGGCGTTTGAGGTCAATGTAAATAAAAGATATGGAGCAGAGGTAGATTAAAAGATATAGCTGTATTGTCCTGTATGTAAATGGATTAAAGTCATACAGCTCATTTAGGATGAAGACACACCCAGTGCTTACTCTGGCAATAAACCAAACATGCCATGTGATTCTGACCAGCATGTTAGAGGACAGCAAAATATACACTTTTTACCATTTCTTTAAGATTTTAACTATGAATAACCAGAGAAGCAGATCTGTATGAGGCCAAGTGTCTTCAAGATCATCAACCAGTCCAGTTGCCTTTGCATCAAGCTTTGAAAGTATGGTCATTGTTTTTATCTTATTAAGACCAAATATTGTCTTTCAAATAGTAGCACACGCTCAAATTTTGTTTACATTACTATTATTATCATTATTTGACCATATCAAACTGGAATTTTTTTTCTTAAAAACCATCAGACTTTGCTTTGAAAGCCATTATTGTTTATATTAAAATCTTTAGTTATGTTGGATGTTAAACAACGCTGTTTTATGCCTTCATAATCGTATAAAATGAGTTTGTAATAGCTGTGCTAACCAGAATTTGATTTTTTTTATACATCATTTATTATTGTATATTCTAAAAGGTAAAAATAATAAAATAACTCTTTAAAGGCACAGTATGTACTGTAGATTCCACCACCAGGGAGCTCTCAATCAAAACAAAAGATAACGTTGGGGCTGGCGGGGAATCATGGGAGTGATTCTCTTTTCTACATATCAACTACAGTCTGATGTTGAATAGCCTCTGGGAGAGATGGCCAACTTCTGGATACTTCTGCTGTATTGAAGATGATCCTTTGGATCGAAACGTTGTCATTAATAAAGTTGCTCACTGGCAGCTGAACAGTGTGCAGACCTTTCTCTTGTTTCTCCAGTTTATACTTTTTTTTGTCCTGTACCTGTGTGCAATTTGCCTGGATGTGCGCACGCTATTCTTTTTTCTTTTTTTGGACTTCTGGTGTAGCCATCATTTAGGGATATATGACTTCCAGCCATGGCCTGCAGCAATGACGGTCCGACTAGCAACTTGAGAGGCGGAAATGGAGTTTGAGAGACGACTTCTCAGAGCGAATCGTCAGCTGCTTTTGCATGCAGATATCTGTTACCTGATATTTATTAAAGCCCAATCGGTGTTCGCTTACTGCTCATAGTATTAAGTAACGGCAGATTGCATTCTGACCCATCAGCTCTTCTGACAATTCCTACTACAAACCGAGGCCAAAACACATATAGTCCAGTCCTGCACCTATAGATTCTATAGATAGGCAAATACAGATTTAAAATAATAATCAATATTGACTTGTGTTTGCACACAGGATACTTCTCTTGAGCGAACCGAGGTTTACTTTGTTGTCTGACCCAATCAATCAAGCCAAATGTCCTCCCATCACAGACTTTCTCGGTCTCTTGACAGCCCGTCTGCTGGAGCGATGGAGTGCTTTCTCTTAGCGTTTACATTTGCTAAAAATGAATTTACATTGGGTTTATTGGAAAGCCCATTTTGCCTTAAACAAACGACAAAAGGGACCTTGTGAGTGTGTATGAGACACCAGACGGGTGTGACTAATTGTCTGGAATTAACAAACAGGGAGTTACAATGAGCTGGACCAACACAGGCTGACAGACATTGTCATCTCTGGAGCCAAGTCACAACGTGTGGATTAAAATGAAGATATCCTGTTTAATGTAAGTCAACAGAGATAAAATGCAGCATATCTGTCAGAGCCAGGGGTGAAGGACTGGGTGGGCCCTGAGGGGTCTGGAACTGATGGGTTTGAATTAGTCTGTGAACTTTGACCAGTTTTAATAAAATATCAAACTTAAAAAACAATATGAAATCCAAAGAGGGTTTGCTGAGTGTTAAACCTTCTGCCATTCTGACTGTACGATACATGTTAAAATGGCTTTGCAAACATTCAGATATTGTTTTCTTGGCACAAAAACTCCTCCCATGATGTAAGAATAAAGGCACACCGTTCATAGGAATGGTAGGCTAGGCTTTCGGACGAATGTTAGAGAACCTAGAGTGCGAGCGAATGGGCAGAAAACAGACAGCACAAGTCAGCCTAGCTGTGTAGAAATGGAAGTGACCGAAGGAATAAGAAACAAGGAAACAAGCGGCCGAAATGCATTTCCTCCAGAGGGAGTCTGGGCTCAGCCTTAGAGATAGGGCGAGGAGTTCAGACATTCAGAGGGAGTTCAGAGTAGAGCCGCTACACCTTTGCATTGAAAGGAGTCAGCCGAGGTGGTTCGGGCATCTGATTAGGATGCCTTCTGGACGCCTCTCTTTGGAGGTTTTCTGGGCAAGCCCAACTGGGAGGAGACCCCGGGGTTGACCTAGAGTTCGCTGGAGGTATTATGTATCCCGTCTGGCCTGGGAACGCCTCAGAATCCCCCCAGGAGGAGTTGGAAAATGTTGCTAGGGAGAAGGAAGTCTGGGAAGTTGGAAATCTTTTTTTTTTTTTTTGTTGCCAACTAAAGAGAGCGGAGAAAAGCACTCAAACTCAAACTGGCTAAGAATAAAACTATCCTAAACATTGCTGTAGATGCACCGGACTATCCTGTGTCTTTAAAAAGAAAATTAACTATTTAAAACAAAGCCATATATATGATATAGCATACAAGCACACAGTGAAATAATGAAAAGGAGATATTAATTCAAAAATATATATAAAATTATGTTTATAAATAAATCAAACTGTATTAATTTCAGACAAATTCAATTGCAGTTCAAAGTGTTGTTGTAGGGGAGTGGAAAAGGGATTGACAATAGGTAGTGCACACCAACATGAATTCAATTGAATAACAATAAAATAAAGATGGATACAAGTGATAATGGACAATAAATAAAAGACAGGGCAACAAAGTAAGTTTATGCTTCATTCATTAAAATGAAACAGAGACCAAGATCCTCGTTAAAAAAAGACACAATCACCATGAAACAATAACTGAGCTGTAACAGAAGAAATGTTTTCTGTTTAAGCTCACTGTTCGCATTGACCACTAGGGGGCACTGTCTCATCTCTAGTAGCAGAGGAGCTGTGGGAGCAGGTGAGGTCCAATCACCAATCACAACTGCTCTCACATTGTATGAAACCTTGAATATAATAAACCCAGTGATTGCACAAAATTATTATTTTCAGCAGAGAATAGGCTGTAAGTTCACTCAGTGATGCGTTCTGTCTGACCTACAGTCTCGTCCAATCAGCTGTCTGAGTCCTCAGCCTCTCATGTAAGACTGAAGCTTCAACAAATACCGACATTCACAAACTCTCTGCTTGGCTGCACGTCTCTATAAATTGTCTCTGATTATCCGTCCCATTGCAGTTGTCCCTCAGTGTCCACAGAAGCCACTCATCGGGATGACCTTTGTGGCTGATTTAGCAGGAAGGTCAACTTCCCCTCAAGTTACACAACATTAAACACAGAGAACAATAAAAACCATTGAAGGGAAAGATTTGGAAATTACATCATGCAAATGTCATGTCATCACAAATGTACATTTTTTTTCCACTTCTTGGCATGTTTTCCAGCTACCTCTCAAAGCTAAAGCATGTCGGCAATTACACAGTGGGTGATCATTAGCGCCATTCAAGCCTCAGCGCCAGTCAGGATGGTTTCAGCATTTTGGCATCTGTTTGATTCCATTTGGGCTAAAGGGCCTGGAAACCAGTCGAGCTTTCACCTAACGTTACATTTCCACTTTCTTTTGTTCTTTTATCCCAACCTCAGGCTTCTCCGTGGGTGTTTCAAAGATATGATTTGCCTCAATGACCCTTTCCCCTTCCAGCGGTGAACCTTTTTTCATGGTAGAAAAATGCCCTTCCAAAATCGGATGCACGTTGCCCAGATCAAGATACGTGCTGGCAGCTTCCGCTCATGCTTCCGAGTGGGGTGATTAAAGTCTAATGGTGCTCCTGATGTGACAGAAAACAGAAGCAGGAAAGCTCCATCTTTTAAAAATTAGAGATATCATTAGTTTACAGCCTGGCGTTAGATTCTCGTAGTAAAAGTCTTGAGTGAGCGGCGCAGCGAGGGCGCTCCTTGAAAAGGCAGCTACAACCCTGGCAACGAGGGATTGAATCCGCTAACAGGCTAAAAGAAAGACTTTGAGAAGAGCCTCAATGTCACGATCTCTTTGTGTAGTTAGTTTAATCACAGTGCATGGAGCTCTTCAGCAGTAATAATAATGAACTCTTCAGAAAGAAAGACATGCCTTTGTCTATCTTGTTATTCATGGTTTTTTTTTTTCTCAGCTTTTTCTTGTATTTTATCATTTAATTAAATTCACACTTGGCAGTTGTTCACCATATTTTTGGCTGGATGTAGAAGGATATCCATGAATAATTATTTAAAATAATATTTTCTTTGGGCCGTAATTTGGGCTCGGTT